GTTCAATACTATTAAGTAAAATATATATATATATATATATATATATATATATATATATATATATATATATATATATATATATATATATATATATATATACATATATATATATTTGTATAGATTTCGATATATAGAATTTATTCGAGGTTAAGTATTTTGATGTAATAATACGAAGTCTCTTGTACGTGTTACAGTGCTCAATATTACTAAATAATAGAGCTATATATAATTATATTTAGATGAATAAAAACAACTGATTAGCGGGACTTTAAGTTTTATGCCCGAAGGCAATCATCAACCGTTAATACCGGTATTAACGGTTAATGATTGCCTTCGGGCATGAAACTTTAAGTCTCCGCTAAACTATGTATATAATATTTTTGATACATAGTTTAGAACGCGTTCGCCAGGAATTTAATTCATAAATTTTTTATGTTATTGTAAAAATGTTTTACATTTTAATCAAATCACAAAGAAACAGAGCTATAGAGAAAAATCGTTTTTAACATTTTAACAAAAAATCTTTTTTTTTTTTAAATTTTAGGAAATTAAAAAAAAAATTAAATTAAATATAAAAGTATGCAAACTCTTTTGTTAATTATTCTTAAAACAAAAAACAAATACTTCTACGCAAAACTTTAATCATGCAAACTTAAAAAAATACTCAACTAAAATAATATAAGTATATTTAATAATTTGAATCGTATCTGTTTATAATAAAAGTTCGTAAAAATTTGTTAATTAAAAATTAAGTTCCTTAACTTATAAACAAACTCAAAAGTATTTTCATTCTACGTATAATTACAAAACTTTTTTTTTTCGTTTGTAAGAAATTTAACTTAATAAAATAAAAAAAAGAATAGATATGAGATAATCTTTGTTAAGAACAAATTTAATTCATTTATTGAACTACATTTTTATTTTTATTTATATATCAACTTAATTAAAATATAGTAACATGTTAAAATACTTTAACATGACTTGTGTTATTTAAAAACCGTAGGGCAGCTGCCCTTACGGCACCATTGCTTTTGGATAATATGTTATTTTGATGAAGATCACATAACTTACATTAGATTTTAATATCGTAAGTCTTCTCTTTTTCTGTGATCATCGCATCAGCAAAGTCCCAAGATTTAAAAGTTTTTAAAGTAAATCTTTTGTTCTTCAAAATACAATCCATATTCGAACTTTAAACAATTTAGAGAGAATAGAAATATACAAGGTTTTTATATACTAGTTTGTCTTATTTTATAAAGAAAAATACATATTCATTAGTAAAAAATAGAGACTGTCATTAATCTAAATTGTGCCTTAGTATTTATTTAACGGAGTCTGTAATGTGCATGTGCATAATGAAACCTCTGTTATAAAAATATATTCAACGTAATATTAGTGTCATCAGCGGATGCTATAGTCTACTCGTAATTTCTTTACTTTAAAATATAACTTGATTTATGATAAAAACTTATTGAATCGGATGCAGAAGAAATTTAACAAATTGTCTTCATTCAAAAATTGCGAGTAACAGGTAAAAAAAATTTTCTGTGCCAGCCCCCTCCCCCCGCATAACTTAAAGGTAAAGGTATCTATATACTTTTAACTAGGAAGAAAAGCAAAGAGTAATAATTAAATACAAATAGATTGTTCATTCATTGGCACAATTTTTTTAATACCTCAATAAAATGCCTTTATATTTTTGTTATCGTGATAACAAAAATATTAAGACATTTTTTGAGATATTAAAAAGAATGTCAATCCTTAATTACAAATTTTTTTGCAAATGTTTTTTATTATAAATTCAGTAAAAAATTCTTAAAAAATCTATATTACAAAAAACATTTATATTCTGTATGAATAAATATGGAATACAGATTTTTTAAAAGTTATTTACTGAAAACTTTAAAGGGATCCCTAAGTGCTATAAAGATATGATCTCATATGAAAGAGCATTAAAAAAAAAATGTTTGATGATTATTATTTTTTCTAAAACGTAATAATGAACACACACTAACAAATTTAATTTTCAAAAAAACGCTTTTCTTCGATTAAAAAAAAATGCGTCTTGTCCAAAGTTTATTGACTCTACTGCCTCAAAAAACTAACGTTTGTACGTCAAAATAAACAAAGTAGACAAAATGTCATTATTGCAAACTTATTAGTTGGTAATTAAATTTAAAAGTAAGGTCGTTTTTTTTTCAACTAACACAATTACTTACAAAAATAAGTTTTGTAGCATTTTGTGAAAATATATTTGTATATTAAAATTTTTTTTATAATTTTAATTTATATATTTGTGTTATAAGGGCAATTCCACGGCCAAAAATGAATAGAAGTAAAATTTTAAACTCTTTTTAGTCAGTTTTTAACAAATGAATATTGATTTAGACACATAAAAGTTTATTTAAAATATTTCCTTAGTACAAAAATAAATTTATTTCAGTCATTTTTATGGTTTCAAAAGTGACGGTTACTCTCATTTTTGCTTGATAAAAAAAATAATTATTGTAAAATGTTTTACTTAAATTAACATTTATGTTAATTTTGCTATATTTTTTTTGGTTCAAATTAATAAGGTTGAATAGACATTTTATTAGAAATTAAACTAAGACAGGGCTCGAATTAACGCAAAAAAAAATCTAATCGCGATAAAAAAATTTTTTTTGCTCTCTCCCCCCCCCTCTCTCTCTCTCTTATAGGTCGCGCCGATGTGCGTGAATGGGGGGGGGGGAGAATTATCATCAATAAATCAAAAAACATCGTCAAAAACTTAATAAAAAATTATATACCACGTTTTTTATAATTTATTGTTTCTTGAATAAAGGACTAATAAAAGTTTAAATATAATTAAGTTTTTCATTTAAATGGTTGATGTTTTTTTCAATTTTTCTATTTCAAGTTTTCCAATAAAAGATGAAACAAAAAAATTTGGTTAAATAAATCGAAATATACTTCACATTTAAAATAAGGCTAAAGTAAAAAAAATTGCTGGTTTTTATTAGCATTTTTATACTGTTTGAAAAAAAAAAATAATAAAAAAGAATTAACTAATAATATATTAATTAATAATTATTAGAATTAATAATAATAACAATTAATTCTTTTTTATTAGTTTTTTTTTTCAAACAGTATAAAAATGCAAATAAAAGTCAGTATTTTTTTTGCTCTAACGTTTTTAAGCCTTATTTTAAACATGAAGTTTTGATAAACAAAGATAAAAACCAACTTTTCGCTTTAACGACCTTGTAAAAATTTTCCACGCAGAGATTTAAAGTAATTTAAATTCAAAAATGTTTAACGTTGAAAGAAAATCTCCGCGCGAAAGAGCAAATCTATCTATTCAGAATAATAAATTTTGTGTGACGTTCTTTATGATAAAAACATTACTTTTAAGGATTGCTAAAAAAAATGCTAAGCTAGAAAAAAAGTAATTAAACAACCAAAAAAAAAATCGCGAAAAGATTTTTTTTAAGAAAAAACTAATCACAAAAGTGTGAAAAACAATCGCGATCGCGATACGCTTAATACGAGCCCTGTAAGACTTTTTTATAAGTTCTAAACTATTTAAAACTATTACTTAATAACTTTTTTTTAACGACGTCTTTCAACTGAATGATATTATACTGTTTTTGCAAAACTAATTAAAAAAACTTGATTAAAACTTAACTATTTAATCACGACTTTTTTTTACTTGAAAATCGAAGTAGATATTTTAAAGTTGTTGTGACGTACTAACGTGATTTTTAACGACTAACAATCGAGTTTCAATGGTGAAAAAATAAAATCAAAATGGAGTTGTTTTTCAGTGATTTCGGCAATTGCTTTTTGTTAGCATGCATTTATTATTACAATTTAGTGAAAAAGAAAAAAAACTTACATATTTTTTTTTTATGCTTTTTCATATGAGATCATATGTTAGGAGCACTTAGGGATCCCTTTAAAAAATTACAACTTTTTATTAAAAACATTGGAAAAAATTTGTAGTTAAGGATTGACGAACAATTTTTCATATTGCTAAATATTTGGATAAAAAGTTTAGCGTCAAAATAATTGCTATAAAAAGGTAAGATATATCGCGATGAAAAGTTACAACAATTATTTTTAACATAAATTCTTTTTTATAATAAATATCTTTACATGTCGTTTAAAAGTTAACGTGTTTTTTTTTAAATTGATTACTTCTTTTATGTTACCGCTAATTTAAAAGTTAAAAAATGATAAAAAGTAGCTTAAATAAAACAGCTTTACGCGTAGGTAAAAATTGCTTAAGGCGTACATAAATGGCTCTAGGCCAGAAACTTCAGAGCGGTTTTTTCCAAATGACATTGTAAATGGTGGTCAAGCAGCCGCACTATAAAAAAGCATTGATTTGTTTGTTTATAATTATATTTGACCAGATGCCGGATAAAAGTCAACTCAACTCTTGTTCATTAAAAAAACGCTTGTAAATGTTCTTAAAAATCTTTGGAACAAAATAACCCAGTTGTTATATTTAAAAAAAATTAATCGATTAATCCTTTGTTAATTAACCGATTAATGATTAATGATTTTTAATCGATTAATCGTTAATCGTTTACCACCCCTACAGGCCACCAAACTAACGCTTCAATCCTGAAATGTTGCATCTACTGTTAAGGTAGTAGACCACAAAAAAGGGACTTTTTATAAAAAAATAAAATAAGTGTAAAAAATATGCAGATATGTTATCACTAAAGTAAAAAAATGTTTTGGTAATTTTTGTTAAAGTAAAAAAATGTTTTTGTAAACAAACAATTTTGTAAATTTTCATAAATTTTAATACATGCATTCATTCAAAAAATCATAGTTGTAAATATAAAGAAAAACAGATGCAAACCATGTCTAATCAATTTTAATTTGTTTTTTTGTTGTATTACTACTACTTAACTACTAGAGGCCATTTTAAAAAAATAATAATAACAAATCATACAACTTATAAACAAATTTATAAATACTTTAAACATGTTTACATAAAAAATTACCTGTTTCATTTAAACTTGCATGATTATTTATATCTTGTAACTTCATGGCTAATAAAATAAGTATATCAAAAATATACATAATTTTATATATCTGACATTACAAAAATAGTCTTTTAAATATTATATTAGTCAACACTCAACACAGCCACCCATAAAGTCACCCTTAGGACATTTAAAAACAAGGTTTAGCTATGCTAACTTGTTATTTATATATAGCTGTTATATATATATATATATATATATATATATATATATATATATATATATATATATATATATATATATATATATATATATATATATATATATATATATATATATATATATATATATATATATATATATATATATATATATATATAGCTGTTCTGAGTTTTTGTAAGAAATTATTAAAGTGATCTCCAAGTAACAAGTTTTGTTCATATCATAATTAATCCTTAAAAAATAAGTTTCATTTTTTTATACTTTTTTAAATTTCATTAAACTTTCCAAAAGAAATTATTTATCGAGATATTAGCAAAAAACTTTCTATTTTTAAAGCTATTTCTTTTTTTCTGGAAAGTAAGTTCATTCTTCTTTTTTTTTTTTTTAAATACTGGTCTGATGCACTTTTGTAGTTAATAAATGACACCAATGCAAAAAAGTTTTTTCAAATGACTTAAACTTGAGTTATACACGTTATGTTTGGGTTTTTAATTTTTTTATTAATTAATGGTTATTAATTTTTGTGCAGAGAAGAATGCTTTTATATAATACCTTTTATAAAACCTATAATAACGGAATAAAAATAACACAATCAATAAGTAAACACTTTAAAATTTTAACTTATATTTATTTATTTTAAAAACAAAATTAATATTAGTGCTATAAATTTAAGATATGTAAATTTAAAAGTCATACTTTAGTAAGAAATACTGTAAATACATTCGATGTAAAAAATAATGTAAATACATTGAAAACAAAATATTTTAATGGAAAAAAAAATAAAAAAAAGTAGAAAAGCATTAATCTTTGTTTACTTACAACTTTTATTTTGTTAAAAGTCTTCAGCTAAACTAAAATGTTTAAAGTAGCCCATCTTTTAATATAAGAGAAAACCCAATCTAATAAGGGAAAACCAAAAAATGAAAACCAAATCTAATCTTATCATGTTAAGTGGTGTAGTGGTAGAGCGCTCGCTTCATAAACGAGTGGTTCCGAGTTCGATCCCCACCATGTCCCTGGTAGTACCGCGCTCAACTCGTTTCTCCGCGCAGCGGCCTTGCTCGTCAAGGTTCGTGTTTCGGAGTTATAGAGTTGAGAGAGGATTATAACCACAAATAAGTAGCCTCCTCGTCTGTAGTGGCCTTCTCGGCCTTGAGGAGGTGAATTAAAAAAAAAAAAAAGTGTGTTTATTATTCAAACCAGATATTTCTACAACAGAAAAAACTATGCAGATTGATGGAGTTAATATTAACCTCTCAACCGTTTTTGTTAATATCTCAATAAATAAATTGTTTTGGTGATTTTAATAACCTTAAAACATATTTTCTAATGTTTATTTACAAAATAAACATAAGTTGTCTCAGCACATGGGAATCCTTTTAACAAAACTATACCTTTGAATGCTATAAAGAATACACACAACACACATAACCCATAACACAATAATATCTTTGACAGTTTTAATGAGGAACTTCCACTACTGCTGCTTGCATAATTGCATCTGTGGCACCATTCTTTCATAACTTATTTGTTGATACATTATAATCCATTTTATTAACAGTAACAAACATCACTTCATCATCTAAATTAAAACCTAGAAAATCAATAGGTCCTAACAGCATCCCCACAAATATTCTTATTGATTTAAATTCTGAATTTTCTTATATTCTCTCCGAGCTATTTAATATCTCCTTCTTAAATGGAATTTTTCCTGACATTTTGAAATTATCAGGTGTCATTCCAGTATATAAAAATGACTCAAAACTCTTATGTACTAACTATAGACCAATTTCAATTCTATCTAACATTAGCAAGCTCCTTGAAAAACTAATATATTCTAGATTATACTCATTTTTTGAGTTCTTTTAACTGTTAAATGATTTTCAGTTTGGATTTATATGAAAACACTCTACTTGCCACATTTTAATAAGTATAACTGAAAAAATAAAAAAAGGCAATAGTCATTTTGTTGGTGATGTTTTTATCGACTTACAAAAAGCGTTTGATACTGTTAATCATACCATTTTGATTTCTAGACTTGAACAGTACAGAATCCAAGGAGTTGCTTGTAATTCAATCTTATCTTTCAAATCTGAAGCAGTTTGTTAGCATTAATGGTTACAAATCAAATAACAAACTCATAGTTTGTGGTGTTTCCCAGGGTTCTGTTCTTGGCCCTTTATTGTTTTTGATTTATATTAATTATCGAAATAACTCTGTCCGCTTCTCATCAGTCAATTTGTTTGCTGATGATATTGATTTCTTGCATATTATTAAGTCTCATCTATCCTTGTGTAAGAATATAAACTTAAATCTAAAATGTTCATTGGCTAAATGCAACTTAATTTCTCTGAACTTGGAAAAAACTGAACTAATATTTTTTTCATCCATAAGACAAAAACTTTTATACAACAATCATATAACTAAAATTAAAACTAATAATAGATGGTTATATCCAATACATGTTATTAAATATCTTGGTATTTTTATTCCAACCTCTCATGGAATTTTCATATAGATGCACTCCGTAAAAAACTCAATCAAGCTAATGGCATACTTTCAATAATTCGCTGATTATGCTGATAAAACTACCCTTAAGAATCTGTATTTTGCAATTTTTTAGTCTTGTCTCAACTACTGCTACCAGGTTTGGGGACAAATATGCAACTGTAATGTTAATAAATTATTATCAGCTCAGTGGCAATCAATCTAAATAATAAATTTTTAACTCCATAATACAGAAACTTCAAACTTCTTCAAAAAAAAAACTTTAAATTCCTACCCTGTCAGCTCTAGTTAGATTTGCTAATCTTCTTTTTGTCTTTAACTCGCTTAATAAAAATTTACCTTCCTTTGTTACAACCTCATTCACTTAAACTCGATTCATACATTCACATTTAACTAGAAACATCAATAATCAAAAACTTAATGTAACTCCCTATAAAACTTTAAGGTATGGTAAGTATTCAATTACCCACCAGTGCATCAGTAAATGGAATCAGTCTTGTGTGCATTGTGAACAAGTTTGAAAAATTAAAACTTAAAAATAATTTATCTTCATTTCTTTATTTAAAACAAAATAAATTTTAACTAAGTCTAAAAAAAATTTATTTTAATAGTTTTATCATTATTAACTTCCTATAATTTTCTTATATTACTTTACTTCTTACTACTTTTTTAGAAACTTTATTGTTTTTGTCATTAATATTTATTTATTTCATTACTGCTGTTTTTATTATTACTATTATAATTATAATTGTAGTAAATACTACTATTTTTGCTGTTACTTTTGCTCTATTAATAAATAAAGTTATTACTGCTATTATTATTTTTTTTTTAATTAATATTATTAATAAAATTATTTGGTGTCACTCCTTTGATCAGGTTTCTCCGTGAGTAACTCCTTCCTTGTCAATCATTTATTTATATTTATTCTTAAAAATGATATTTTGGTTTTATTATTTATAATATTATAGATATTCTTCTTCTTTTTCTTCATTATTGTGAATTTTTATTTACTCAATAACCCTTTTGAGTAAATAAAAATGCACAATAATGTCTTCCGTTTGTGGATAAAGAACTCATAGAAAATTCATTTATTATTTTTGATGAATTTGAATTAACTATTTTTTAATATATTTTAATGAAAGAGATAAAATTTGAGAGATAAAAAGTTCTTTTCAAAGCCATGATTAGAGAACATTTTGATATTTAAGGCGTTGCAAAATAAACAATAAAATGTTTTTGTAATTCACACTTACATACAAACTATTGTAAGTAATAACTTTGTTTAGTTATTTTATAAGAAAAAAAAGTTGATTTAAAAAACTACGTGCTACAAATGAAGGATTGAAATTAAATAATTTGTTGGAGTCTAATAAAAAAAAATAATAATAATAAAAATAATATTCTTACTATTTTTAAATAAAATTTTAAATAATTCACAATAAAAAATGACTAAAGGCGCCTCATGTGACCTCTTTTCAAGAAATCAAAAAAAAATAGTAGTTAAAGATATCACCAGCTTTTTAATGTTATATTTTTAACAGACTGCTAAATATGTTATAGCTTTTCTATCATACAAGCTACTTTGACTACTCAAAATAATACCCCAAAAACTTATTAGACAAGCAAATTTGATGTGCATTATTTATTATATAATGCTATCATTACATAAATAGCTATTCTAACATTATGTGAGTGGATCATTTGTGGCTATGGTATTTATGCCATTTAAAAAAATTTAATTATTATGGCAACATAACACCATTTATTGTTGAACAACATTTACTAGTTGAACAAGGCAGCTGTGCAGAGAAACAGATTGAGCACAGTACGCAGTAAACAGCAGTCTACAACTGCAAATTGATATTATATTATTATGTTTAATTTAAGCTTTCTCAAGCAAGGTTTGTGGTAGTAAGCAACAGGGGTTGATATTTGATTGGGGCGGGGCTGGTTTTGATAAAATTTACTGGGGCCAAGTTTGTGACCGGGGCTGCATAAACATTTATAGATCCTGAAGTATTTTTTTTAATTCAAAACTTTTTAATTTTCAATTTAAAATAAAATAAAATAATTTTTTAAATAAAATAATTTAATTTTTTTAATTCAAAACTGTTATACTTTGTATATATGTGCATATATAAACATCATTAAAAACATCATTATGATCAACATAATCATCATCATCATCATAAGGCCTTCTTCTTTAATGCTGTTTCTCTAATCACGGTCAATGCTTAAACGAGCTATCATCTCTATTATGATAAACAAGCTATTATCTCTATTATGACAATTTTATGTTTTTCAAGTAACATTTTTTATGTTGTGTACTGGACCCATCAAATTACTGAGTCTTCTTAACCGCTGAAATATGTGAACAATAATCCTGTCAAAACAGACAAAAAAATAGTGGTAGGTTTACAATAATTCACATAGAGCTGAAAATTGATACATACCTTGAGTACATTATTACAAATAAAGTACTAAAAGTCCCTATCGATCCCATATCTGCAAAAAAAGTAATATAAGGTCAAAGGTATAAAAAAAGTTGTTTTTTTAAAAAAAAAAGGAAATGTTTTATCATTAAAAATAGATCAAACAAATGCGAAGTACATTTTAACACATTAAATAAACTGTTTAAGCAGCTTTTCTTTGATCTTGTATAAGAACAATGAAAAATGCTTTTTTCGAACAATTTTTTTAACTTATTTTTTTCGTCTGACTTCCAAAAATTCTTGGAACAAAGTTACAAACGATGAAATACTTTTAGTGTTGAACGCTTTATTGCAGTGAATAGTATAGAGTGGTATTTTTTATTAGAATTCGAACCGTTTAATACTTTTATTAAAATGTCGCAACTATGTTTTATTTGTAGTAAACTTTTAACAGCAAGTGAAACTGTTGTTGTTGACTTTGGAATGAAGACTTTGATTAATACGAGTGTTAAAAGAAGTGACGGTTTTTATGAATACCTGAAAGATCTGAAGTCTGTGACGATTCATGTGGTGTGCTGTAAAAAGTATACTCGGAAGAGAACTATTGCTGCATTTAAAAGACAGCAACATATAGTAAATATCATAATATATATCAAGTCAGCACATCTAAAAATAGTCCACCTCGTACCAGAGCGCGCGTAAGTGAATTATTTTTTTGTTTAAAAAAGTGTTGTTTATTTTGCGGCGATGAAGCGAACGAGAGACCGAAAAGAAAAAAGCGATGAAAGTTTGGTGTAAATTCATAAAGTTTCTACTCTTGAATTTAAAGAATTGAACGACTCCATGTTTCCTTCAGAAGCATGGAGTCGTTCTGATGAGGAAGCAAAAAAGGTTACTGCACGAATTGAATATGTTGCTGTTGAGGCTAAATACCATAATACCTGTTATAATTCTTTTTTAAGACCAACCAATGGGTGTAAAATCAGTCGTCCTCAAGATGAATCTACAAATGTTGCAATGGAAGAAATATTTAAATACATTGAAAACAGCGATGATTGCCAGTTTTCATTAGAAGAATTAAAAAACATTTGCAAAAATCAACAGAACAATTAAGACACAATTAAAGTTGAAGTTTGGTAATAATATTATTATCACTGAAAAACCGGGAAAATTAACGTTTATTTGTTTTTTGAACAGTCATAGCGATATTCTTACCCAAGCTTGGTATGAAAAGAAAAGCCAAAATAAAGAACAATTTCAAATTTTAAAAGCTGTGGCAGCAATCATTCGAGAGGACATTCAATTATTAGTATTTGATAATACCAATTATCGCTTGCCTAGTTAGATGTTTGAAGATATTAATAGCAATATTCCAGAGTCATTGACTTATATTTTAGAACAAGTTATTTTGAAAAAAATAAGATCTAAATTAGAACATTTAAAAATAGTGTGTACAAGTATCAACCACAGCATTATATCTGCTGTTAAGCCTAGGTCTTTTAAATCAAAATCCCTTCTGCAAAAGATTTTGCAGCAAAAGCACATGTGCCAATTCAAATCTATCAAAATGATGGTGTAGTTGGTTATAGTAAAATATATATATTATAGTAAATAAATGTGCAAAATTTAGCTTATGAAAGTGAAGCACCGATATCTTTAACCCAAAACAATATGATTCTATGATAAATGCAAGAAGTTATCATTACACGGTTAGAATGATTACATCAAACATTTAACTAGTAGTATTCAGAATTATTTCAAGTCTAAAATTTTATTCTTACCGTTTATTCACCAACCAGCAAATAACTACAGTACAATATACACGACTTTACTTTGTGCTTTAAAAAATGCAAAACATTACAGCCACGAAGTATGCATTATTACTTTCGATCAACCTCTGTATGCAAAAGCTCGAGAAATTGTATCTGCAGCTAGCATTATATTTTATATAAAATCGTATTATTAAATATATTTTCGCACTATATTTTCTTGCAATATCTTTTTGCAAGAATTGCAATAACTCAGGAATAATGAAAGGTAATTTTAGTAAACACTTTCATGATCTAATACTTTAGTTTGATCTATTTTTATTAAACGTTTCCTTTTTTTTTAAAAAAAAAACAGGTTTTTTTTATACCTTTGACCTTGAATAACTTTTTTGCAGATATGGGATTGATGGTATGTACCAATTTTCAGCTCTATGCGAATTATTCTAAATTAAAATGTTTATTTTGACCGGATTAAATCTCTAAAAACTTCAAAATGAATATCACGTCTAAAATGAAATTAGTTTTAAAAAAGAATGCAGATAAAAACTTCTATAATTTTCAAAAAATATGGAGGTTTTTATTTGCTAGATATAATCATTTGAACCTTATTTGTTAAATAGCATTATTAAAATTTTATTGATCAAACATAATAAAACATATTTGTACTGGTGTAATTCCAAATAGTGCACATGCTGACTGAGTATTGGAAAAAAGTAATTTGGAGTGATAAATCCAAATTTAACCTGATCTCATTCTGCAAGACTCAAAAATGTCTGGCAAAAATAAAGCAAGGCATACAAATTAAGTTGCATGAGAGAAACTGCAAAATACTGTGGTGGAAATGTTATGGTGTTAGGATCAATGACTTGGCAAGGAGCTGGCAAATCAACTTCGATTTTTAAAGCAAAATTTGAAGCTCTTTGCTCGTAAATTTAGATTCTGAAATAATTGTGCGTTTCAACAAGACAATGACCTGAAACATATTGTCATAGCAACAAAGGAATATTTTCAAAAGAATGATATTAATGTCATATAATAACCTGCTCAGTCTCCTGACCCTAATCCCATTAAGCATTTGAGGTATATCCTAGAGTGAAAAATTGGAGATTGAGTTTACAGAATGATCTGAAAGCAGCCATAGTTGAAACATGGGAGAAAACAACTCCAGAAGAAACGAAACCTGTGGTGGAATTGATGCCTCGACGGCTGCAAGCAGTTATTCTGGCTAACTAATTATTGAAATGCCTAAATTCAGAAATTTATATTTGTGCAATTTTTTTTGCAAGAAAATATTTGATGAATATAAGCACAGTTGATTTTTCTGTCATATGATCTTATATTTGACAATTTTTAAATACAATACTTCAATGTAAAGCTATTTTTAAATAATTGATAGTTTTTTTTACATTACACTTTTTACACAAACAATTGATAGTTTTTTTTTACATTAATTACAATTTTTAAATCTTATTATACAAATTTAAAAAAAAAAGCTCAAGACATTTATTTTATTGGTTACTGTATATGTAACAGTATATAGAAAGCCATGAGTAAAAAAAAAATCTAGTCATGTATGCTAATATGTTTAATGTCAATTCATGTATGCTAGTATACTACATTCATAGGCTTGTGTATGACATGCATGTAGTGAAAAATTTAAATAAATGTCTGTAGTAGATACATTTTGACATGTTATTTTAAATAAATCAAATAAACAAAAATATTTTAAAAATACTTACACTGACATTTTACCTCATGCATCCTCATATAGTATTTATTTGCATACTTTCTGTTGCAATTCTTGCATTTATAAGGTTTTAGACCAGTGTGACTTCGAATATGTTGTTCTAATCGAGCTTTACTGTAACAGGTGTATCCACATTTATCACATTTTAAATGATTTTCAGTTAAATGAATTTTCTTATGGGTGTTAAGCGTACTTAGCTGATAAGTCTTGTACTCACACTGATCACATTTAAATTTTTTTTCTGCATTTTTATGCTTTCGGGAACAATGTCTTCGTAAAGCAGTTTTTGATGTATAATTTATAGCACATTCACTGCATTTAAAAGGTCTTTCGCCAGTATGAGAATTAGTGTGTTCCTGTATATGTTGTGTATTATTAGAAGAATATCTGCAAAAAGCACATTTATACTTTTTAGAATTATCATAAATTCGTTCTAATTTTGAAATATCTGATTTATCGGACAAATGCAGATTTAGATCCACTTTTGATTTGTCATAAAGGGAAACTTTGTCAGTTATAGTATTTGTCAAGTCAAATCTTGAAGGTTCAGTGATGTTAACATTTTGAAGCTGCTCATCTGGAATATCTATATAAAAAAATCTATATGATAAACACAAAGGATTTGTAAAAAAATCTATGGAATATTTAGGATTATTTATATGAGATTGTTTGTTTCCATTATAACAAAATCAAAATTTAGTCCCTTATTTTATAACATCTTTTAAAATAATTTAGAAGAAATTTATTGTATTACATTTATTAACTTAATGAATAATTGAAGGCACTAAAATACAGCATAGTAATACACCCCAGTAAATGTAATGAGAGGAACCATAAAATTTGAATCACCATAACATGGTTTGTAAGAATTAAAAATGGAACAGCTAACCACCTAGAGACGCACAATATTTAGTATAAACTTAACAATTTTTTTTAACAACAGATTTTTATTTTAATTTTTATTATAATGAATAAATTTTAAACTATTAATATAATGATATTAATTCATTAATAATTATATTATTAATAATTAATTAATAATGATATTAATTCATCATTTTATATTGTGATATTGTTAGAATGATATTAAGTTTTTATATTCAGATGAAAATGTTATTTTATTTTTAATAACTGTAAAGCATTTGATAAAAAAAGAAAAAGATAAACACAGTAAGTTTGTTTATAAAAAGCAAATTTTTTTTAAAACAATGTACTTCATAGGTAAGTGATGTTTTGAAAAAAAAGATAAAGATTCAATATATAGTCCAATTTAGACTTCACTTACACAATAGTTAAGAAACTATTAACTAGACATTGAAACTATTTTTAGACAGCACTAAAGTAATTAAACAAATAACATCAATTCTTTTAAATTTAACTTTTCAAATCAAGTATATTTCAAAATAAGATCTGAAATTTCAAGAAAATTTACAATAGTACAAAAACTAATATAAAATAAATATCTACATATACAACATATCAATATAAACAATGATGAAAATTTTAATAGCAATTATAATTTTTGTCAAGTATAGTAAATAATAATAATAATAATAATAATAATAATAATAATAATAATAATAATAATAATAATAGCAATAATAATAATAACAATAATAATAGCAATAATAATAGCAATAATAATAATAACAATAATAATAGCAATAATAATAATAATAATAATAATAATAGCAATAATAATAATATAATAACAATAATAATAGTAGAAGAATTATATTAACAAAGACAATGACAGCAGCAACAATAATTTATTAAAAAGTACAGAAAATACTCTTAGGTGCTCAATACAAGGAGAGGGGGGGGGGTCAAAAGTTTATCAATTTTTAGAAATTTTTCACCCAACTCATGCTTATTAGGATAAACTAAAAAAATAAATTCTATGGAACTATATTAAAACACTGTAAAAAAAAATGTGCATTTGTCTGCAAGATACACTAGAATTGAATTGTTTAATTGTTCTAAGCCTTCCCAGAAAGCGTGTGCGGTCGCACATCTTGTTCATCCACGTATAAGTAATTTTCTTAGACAACTTGACCACATTTTTATATAATTAGCAATTTAAGAAATTGGGGCAAAAAAAATTTATAAAACTACAGAGAATAAAATAGCAATACTAGAAGAAAGGAAACAAATACTATATGAAATAGAAAATATACCTGAATATTTTACTGTTTTTTTTTTTTTTCTGTTTTTTTAGGGCGTTAGTTTGTTTTCACTACCAAAATTAAAACAAGTCAAAGAAAAAACAGATAAGAATATAACATTAAAAAAATTCTGTTTGATATACAATTTATTTAGGACTTTTGTCAGTCAGTATATTAAGGAAACACTTAACTATTTGCATTGGAAATATGCATAACTTTTAAATTCTTTTTTTTTCTTCATGTTTTTTTTAAACTTTACTGTTTCTATGATTGCACAGGAAAACAAGAAAACTAATTGCTATTTATTTGTAAAAAAAAAAAAATATTTTTTAACAAATTTTTCATGCAAAATAATAAAAAGTTATAAATACTAATGTTGAAATGTAAAATATTTGGTTATTTTCACTACCAACATTAAAATAGTCTGCACTTTCTTTCAAATCCAAATTGTGCATTTAAACCTGATAGTTTATTTCCTGATGAACTATTAATATTAAAGATGCTCCAAAATCTTGTGCAAAGGCTGGTGCATTGTTAATTTACTAAACTTTTTTAAGAAGAATTTCAAGAGCCTATTTAAACATTTTTAAAGTTTTTAAATATGTTTTTTCAAACAGAACAATCATTATGTTCATTATTTTTAGTATTTCATATTAAGATTGGAAACAATTTCAGACAAGCATCAAATGCAGTAAATAAATTTGTAAAATAAACCATGTACTTCTTTCTATTTAAATTTTACGTGATTACAAAATTTTTTAATCAAATAATATACTTTAAAAATAAATAGTAAACAAATTAATTTATTTTCTTATTTTCCTAATATATAAGTATTTAGAAAAAATATAGTAAAAAACATTTTTAAAAGCGAAAAGACATGTAAACGAATTCACATAAAAAAAAAAAAATTAACACTATTTCTCATAGTTCAGCTTACATAGCAAACTAGTTTCTCAATTATATGGTCTAATAAAAATCGTGAATAAATTGCATATCAAAAATTATTTGTTGTTAAATAGTTGTTAAATTGTATTAAAATATGTTTTTTCCTTAACTATTATCAAATTTGGTAGCTAAACAACCACCCTAAAATAAAGAATACAAAAGTTGTATAAAATTTTTTTAAATTTCCTTTCTTTAAATTATTAAATTTTTTTAGCTTATCTAATGAAAATTTGATATTTTGTAACAAATTTGTTTTCTTTTTTTAGAATTTTCTCAGTAGACAAGTTTAGCTTTTTGCCATGAATTATTAAAACGCTTAAAAAGTTAAAAGAAGCAAACTTCGGTGGTCAGTGTGTCTAATAAAGTTACTTTAAATAAGGACGAACAAGTTGTGCAATCGCACACGCTTCCCGGGAAGGGTTTTGTTCTGTAAAAAATTCTCGCCCACAAGTTTATTAAGACCTCTGGACTAAAATTCCAGTTTCACTTTACCCCCACCCCACCCCATCCTTGTATTAAGCACCTGAGATAAGTTGAAAAAAAATAAATAGATAAATTAGGAATGTCAAAACATTAGTATTAACAGAATGAAAAATTTATTAGAAGATTAAAAACAGCAGATTGAAAACCAAAAGAATTAGAAAGATAAATAAGTAATTTCTAAATGTTAAAAATATTAAAATTAAAAACTGAAATATCAGAAATTGATAAATATAATAAATAATTCCAATAATTTTGAATAAATTGTGGAAATAACTGTATTTTTTAAAAAACAATTAAAAAGCTTAATTTTAAAGTCAGAAATTAAATTAGGAGATTTTAGTTCAGGAGGTAGTTAGTACGATCTTATACATTTAATGGATTTATTTCCATACTTAAAAGAGTGGTATTTTGGAATAAAGTACAATCTCTATAATTCGAATCTTCTTAATTGGATTAAATGTTAAGTCACCGTAAAATGTCGCCATAAAAAGTCAACTTTTTATAATTCAAAAATCTCTCTAATTTGAATTTTTATTTTTTCCAATAAAGGTTGAATTAGAGAGATTGTACTGTATTTAGGTTTAAGTTACTGCAAAAGATTTGTTAAGTTAACTTGATTTTACTTGTTAAGAATCTATTGAATAATGAAAGTTTTTGTGGTGTTAATTCCAGAAAAATTGGCAGTTAAGGAATTAATAGAAATTGTTGAATGATAAGGCAAAGTTTTTGTGGTGTTAATTCCAGAAAAATTGGCAGTTAAGGAATTAATAGATATTGTTGAATGATAAGGGAAAGTTTTTATTTAAAGTTTTAAGTTATTAAAAGAATACCGCAAGGTTGCTTATTTTTAACACATTAATTTAGAAGAATAAATTTACACAATGGCAGACTTTGAACAACATTCAATTAGATCTGCTAAGTTTCATTGCCAAGCCATTTAGATGGTCTTGAAAAGAAAGATTAGAATCAATTTTAATTCCAAGATATTCAATAGAACCTAAAGGATAAATTTTTGGTCCACAGAATGAAAATAATTATCAAACTGTTTGAAATATAATTATATATAAAAATATATGTCTATTGTAAAATGTTACATTGTTTATTGTAAAATGTTACAATGTCTATTATAAAATGCTACAATGTCTATTGTAAATGTTACAATGCCTATTGTAAAATGTTACAATGTCTATTGTAAAATGTTACAATATCTGTTGTAAAATGTAAGATGTTACAATGCCTATTTTAAAATGTTACAATGTAATGTTACAATGCTTATTGTAAAATGTTACAGTGTCTATTGCAATGTTACAATGCCTATTGTAAAATGTTACAATGTCTATTGTAATGTTACAATGTCTATTGTAATGTTACAATGTCTATTGTAATGTTACAATGCCTATTGTAAAATGTTACAATGTCTATTGTAAAATGTTACAATATCTGTTGTAAAATGTAAGATGTTACAATGTCTATTGTAAAATGTTATAATGTTATGTTACAATGTTTATTGTAAAATGTTACAGTATCTATTGCAATGTTAAGATGTCTATTGTAAAATGTTACAATGTCTATTGTAATATTACAATGTCTATCAAAATGTTACAATGTCTATTGTAAAATGTTACAATGTCTATTGTAATGAAAAATTTTTACCCTTATAAACTTAGAACAAATTTAGAAATTTACTGAAAGTTTTTAAAAAAGTTATATTTATTTTGTAAATTTCACAGCAAGAAGAAGTTCTAAAATCATATAAAGAAAGATAAAACTATGAATGCTAAAAGTTAAGGATGAAGTGCAAAGTTACCACTAGAATAAATCACAATATACGCTTTATCCTATTATTATATAGTATAAATCAAGTCATTTTGGTTCCTTTCTGATGAAATTGATAATGATGTATAATTTATATTTAAAAATCAGCTTTTTATTTTTTTTTAATGTCAATTAGATTAAGGCAATTAATTACATTAAGACAAACACTCTACAAGTTAGTAATATAAAATATTACTAACTTGATTATCATTACAACCAAAGTTTACTATGAGAAGAACTTTTTCAGAAACAAGATGCTTTCACCATTTTATACCAATAAATAAAGTACAATTTTTATTACAATGAGGAATCAATAAAATGAATTTCAGACATTTAACATTGAGCAGATACCAAATGAGCTGGTTATGCAGCAGATTAATCATAATCATATAGATTATGTAGCTTGCAAATATAACATCTATTAGTGGATTGGAATTTTAACTTTAAAAATACAAAAGAGAAGGTGATTTTAAAGTTTAATTTATGCACCACGTGGTTCCAGTCGAAGCTTTTCTTGGCCACACGAGATCTATCCTCTACAAAAAATGGTGGTATGTAAATTGAGTTGACATATATCATTGAACAAAATAAACAAAATTTATAGAAAAAAAAATATTTTTTTTTTAAATATATTTAAAGTATAACTGCAAATATGTATGTATTAAAATATAACTGTATGTTGTATATGAATATATGTATATAACTATCTAGAAAAATATAGTTAAAAATATGAAGTACAAAAAAATCTTTTTGTACATTTTGTACAATCATTTTGTAATTGCAAAAAGTTACTTGTCAATATGAGTTCTAAAATAAATAAAAATTTAGGAGGAGCAGGGAAGGGTTGAGAAAAAGGCTGTAAACTGCCCCCCCCCCTCCTTCCTTCTCCTTTCAAGCTATGGATAAATTTATCATTAACCTTAAAAAAAATAATAATACTTTATAGCATTTTTCAACTTGAAATATAAATGATACTTATATTTTAAGTTGAAAATCTCTATTAAAAAAATTATCATTTAGACCATCAAAGTACTCCAAAGTGTGTGCCTTTCTTATTTAATTTACATGTAGTTGAGGTATAAAAAAAAATTATGATATTTAAATCTGCCATGTGAAAGACTGTATCAAATTTCAGGTAGATACCTCATTCTGTTCATTAAATAAAATAGCAATAAAAGAATTTTTATTTTAAAACAACCATAAATAAGAACATTGGTAAATATCTAAAGAACTGTAAGGAGTTGGAGAAAGATTTTTCTAGTTTTTGTAATCCCTATAACATATATAAAAATTAACAAATTCAAAACGTGGGGTCTCAGGAGCCTGCTGATTTGACATGGAATGAAAAGTGGAAACCCAAACTTATTACAAATCGAAAGATCATTTGAAAAGAATAACAAAATAGATGAGGATAAAACAATTGAATACAGTGGAGTACAAACAATCGAGTACAACAGATAGAGCAGTTTTTTTACGTTATACATCTAGAGTAGGCGATATCATTAAAAGTCTTTGCGAAAAGCTTGATATATATATATCTCACTTCTAAATTGCTAAACTTATCTATCAAATTTTTTAAGAAATGTAAAAAAAGAAAGAACACTGAAAAAAATCCACCATTTTTCTGCTGATTAAACTATTTTATTAAAGAAAAAAGGAATTTTACAAAAAAAAAAAAAAAATGGTTCCCAGACCTCTATGATGTTTCTAATACATCTGCTTTTTAACTGTCTGGCATTAAGCCAGCAATTAAAAAGTTAAAGCTTGTTAAATATAGTAAGACAGTGCTGCTTTAAAATAACAAAAGTAAATGTATGCACATGTTGCAAATGCAAATGTTGTTTAAACAGATTTTAACACATGCCTTATTAAAACTAGTTCAACATTTGTGTAGTTTAAATAAGTTCCCATGATGCCATTTTCTTTATTAAAATATAACAAAAAAAATTGAAGCAACTTTTTACATGAAATGCACTTCTTGGTGCATCATCAAAAATAATTTATACAAATAGATTAAAATGATAATAATAAAAATATTTACCAGAACTCGAAACAAAGCTATTTTTAGTAACTTCAGTTCTTGTGCCAAAATGATTATTGCCCTGTAATATATATTCTTTAGTAATATAAAATATATCAATGTATTCAGCAAATAATGAAAACTAAATCCAGTCAATGTGCATAATGTATTAAAAAATTAAGTGTAGGTACGTAAATTGCTTAAAAGATTTTTTTGAACAGAAGTTATTTAGGGGTGTCTCAAAACCCTTGATTTTTAAATTGCTCTTAATATTTTTTTTAAAAAAAGGTCTTCTCAAGTAGATTAACCAGGTAAAAGAAGCCAAACACTTAAAAAAAAAATTAAAAAAATTGTTTTCTTTATAAAACAACTTTTCATATATTCATTTTTTACAAAAAACAGGTAAAAACAAATCTCTATCAAAAAATATTTAAAAATTCACTTTTATTTATAGTTAAAAACTAAATGATTTAAAGGGATCCTAAACCTCTAAGACATGTTGTGTTCATATTAAAGAGAATGATAAAAAATATGTTAGGGCTAATTTTTTTGATTAAAACAAAAGAATAAATGTATATCAAAAAAAAATTCATCGATTTGTTGTAGGCCAAGAATTCAGCATAATATACGCTGCAATCTATAGACTTGATGATTTATTCAAGCGCCTTTTATTCCTAGGAGTTTTATTACATGATGTCATTGATTTTTTTGTTTGTTCAAATAATCCATCTTTCACACAAACAAAAAAATCAATAACGTCATGTACTGAAACTTAAATAAATCATAAAGTCTATAGATGCAGCGTATATTATGCTGACTTTTTGGCCTACAACAAAACAGAGAAGGCAAGCTCCAACTAAAAACAATTATTGTATTCAAAGTCCTGTAGCTACACCCTCCTACTGAGATACGCACATACTCTGCTGAAAAAAACAGCTCTAAATAATATTGCTATTACCACCTTGCAGTCTTGGTACAACAAAGCAACTACTATACTTTTCAGATATAAATCTTTTCAAAAAACTTTGGCTTTTCTTTTTATTACTTTAAAGTTGTTTTCATTTCTGAAATTAATGCCCAGACTTTCTCAGGAATTACATGCGGTGGCACACCGCATGTAATTCCTGAGAAAGTCTGGGCATATATATATATAATAAGAAGAAATAAGAAAGTCTGGGCATATATATATATAAGAATATATATATATATATATATATATATATATATATATATATATATATATATATATATATATATATATATATATATATATATATATATATATATTATATACATATATATATATATATATATATATTATATACATATATATATATATATATATATATATATATATATATATATATATATATACATATATATATATATATATATATATATATATATATATATATATATATATATATATATATATATATATATATATATATATATATATATATATATATATATATATATATATATATATATATTGTGGTTCCTGAGATATGAAATTGCAAACTCAAAACTATGAAATTTGCACCAAATGCATTGAAAACAATAAAAATATATTGAACTTTTAAAAATGAAATTTTGCATAAAACAGATGTTATTAGAAACCATTAGTTATCTTCTTTATGTGGCAAAGTAAAAGTGCTTAAGTAAATAGATGGCTTCATGAACTTGATAAGAATATCTTGATTTTCTTCAGATATTTCCACAATATTGCCTAAAAACCATTTTCCATCATAAAGCCATGATATTTTATTTCCTAGTAAATAAGAATCATAAACTGCATTAAAGAAACATTTAGATGAATATACATATTATTAAATGACACTCATCTGTAAATGAGCAAATGTTTGTGTTGTAAAACAATGGTGGTTTCTTGTTTCTGGAATAGTTAAATATTTAGCATAGTACTTTTTTATTTTAAACTTTATGCAATGTAATATGATTGCATAATTTAAAATCTATTGAAAATCTATTTCTTTAATAATTTGTCTACACCAATAATACATTTTCTCAGGTGAATTGATAAGATCTGCTACTGTAAACTAGCCGATGCTATAAGTCTTTTGACAAAGCCCCCAATGCAATCAAAAGCACTTTTTCCATGTAATGTAGTATAAAAGTGTCATTCTGCAGATACCTCATGATCTTGTTCATGATAACATAACTTAAATATGTTTTTATAATTTTTGTATTGTGAACCATCACTAAAATAAGTGTAATGGTTAAAGGGATCCCTAACTGCTGAGAAAAGTTATGTTCATATTAAAAAAATGTTTGAAAAATACATTTGGGCTAAACTTTTTTGATTGAAACTAAATAATGAATGCATACCAACAAAATTCAAATTTTCGTTTTATTTGAAGCTCGCTTTTTCTATTTTTTTTGGTTCTTGGGGTCTGTATAATGTTAGCTGCAATCTGCAGACTTGATCATTTATTCCATGCGTGTTTAATTCATAACAGTTCCGGTATATGATGTCATCGCAATATCGTTTTAAGATAGCGTTCTTTTGTTGTTGCTTTTTTAAAGATAAGTATTTTTTACTCTACTACAATCAGAAAATCAAATATTTGTATAATTTATTACTAAATCACAAAAAATATTTGTGATTTATTAAAAAATTAATCAAATATATATATATATATATATATATATATATATATATATATATATATATATATATATATATATATATATATATATATATATATATATATATATATATATAAATTTTTTATAATTACTTTGTTGTAGAAGCCAGCCAAAATCATGACACAATTATACATATTTTGTGATTATTAAAGTTTGCAGGCAGAGAAAAAATAAAGGCAGTATGATGCGGTATTTCGCTTTTTATTTAGTTCATATGGTTCAATAGAGTTGTTTGTTTTATGTTTAATTTACATTTAGTTATGGTTTAACTCTTTCACTACGGCAAGCCACTGGTAGCAGCTTTTGAGTATGCTTTACACTTTATCCTATTTTGTACATAAATTTCCATTCTAGACACATAGAATTTGTTTGTTCTAATGGTTTAATTAATTCTCTTATATAATCAAGAAAAAATAAGAGCTATATTGTGTAATTATAAAAAAGTTATCACAAAGTTAAAAAATCTTGAATAATCCTTCTTAAAAAAAAACTTTAAATTAAGTTATAAAATAAAACAGCATTAACACTGTAAAACTTGATAAAAGTGTTTTAAATTTAGTTAAGTAATTACCAAATTATTTTTAAGAAAAAATATTGTTTTTATTCATTAAATGAGGTTTGTTTTGGACTTAATGTTTTAGTTACTACTTACAAAAACAATAGTTTTAAGTACTTTGCATTTAATGATGCGTGTTAAAAACTTTATTATTATTGAATTTTAATTAATTCTTAATGTTATGCAATTCAAATGTAATTCAAAAAAATGTGCAGTTGCTACAAAAAGATTTTTGTTCGGCTGGTAGCGAACAACTTAATGCGATTCTTTGTTTTTATATTTATATTTTATAAACTTTCTTGTATATTTTAGTACAAAAACTAGTTTTAACTTTAGTTTAGTTTGATTTGAACGGTTATTAGTAAAATAAGTTGTTTAATATTTATTTTCTACTTAGTTCCATTTATATGTTTTATTCAAACCACTCGTTGTTTTTTTTCAGTTTATAGTTTAAATTAATTTATACGCTTTTGTAAAATTATTCTTAGTATCTAGCTTATATTTAATTTAAACTACTACGCTTACTGTAAATATTTGTTATATATTAAATTTTAATTTTTATAAATTTAATTTTTAATTGCATCATAAACTTTTTTTGGGATTTAGTAAAAAGTTATACAATTAACATGATTTGGTGATTTTGGCAAGAAAATAATACGACTTGAAAGAAAAAAATTATACATTGATGTCATATACCAAAACTCTTATGAATTAAACATGCATGGAATAAATTATCAAGTCTGCAGATTGCGGCTAACATTATACAGACTCCGAGAACCAAAAAAAAATGGAGTCGGCGAACTTTGAATGAAACATGAATTTTAAATTTAATGGTGTGCTTCATTATATAGTTTTAATCAAAAAAATTTAGCCAAATGATTTTTTTAAACATTTTCTTTAATACGAACACAACTTGTCTTGGCAGTTGGGGATCCCTTTAAATTATGAATAAGTTTAATTAAAATCTTCCTGTTGCAATAAAATGATTTAATTGCTTTATTTTTTTTTGTCTCTATTCTTTCAAATAATTGTTTAAAAGCTTTTTTTTTAATTCTTGACTTACTATTAAAATGATTTAAATAAATATATAAATATATATATATATATATATATATATATATATATATATATATATATATATATATATATATATATATATATATATATATATATATATATATATATTTGTATAATTTTTTAATAAATCACAAATATTTTTCATGATTTAGTAATAAATTATACAGATATTTGATTTTCTGATTGTAGTAGAAAAAATACTTATATCTTTAAAAAACACCAACAAAAAAATGTTATCTTAAAAAATATTGCGATGACATCATATACCGAAACTGTTATGAATTAAACACGCATTAAATAAATTATCGAGTCTGCAGATTGCGGCTAACATTATACAGACCCCAAGAAGCAAAAAAAAAATAAAGACGGAGAGCTTCGACTAAAGCGAAAATTTTAATTTTGTTGGTATGCATTCATTATTTAGTCCAATCAAAAAAATTCAGACCAAATGTTTTTTTTAAACATTTTCTTTAATACGAACACAACTTGACTCGGCAGTTGGGGATCCCTTTAAATTATGAATAAGTTTAATTAAAATCTTCCTGTTGCAATAAAATGATTTAATGGCTTTATTTTTTTTGTCTCTATTCTTTCAAAGAATTGTTTAAAAACATTTTTTTTTAAATCTTGACTTACTGTTAAAATGATTTAAAATTACTTTTTTATAAAGACTACATTATTATTTTAAAAAAAAAAATTTTTTTCGACTTTTAAAAAAAAAAATACAATTTAAAAATATTATAATATTATATTAACACAATTTTTAAATATTATATTTATTTCATTTCAGTAATTTAATTTCACTTTTTAAATAAACAACAATTTAAATAAAAATTTTCATTTATTAAACAATCATTAGAAGTAATTTGTAAAAGCGTTTTATGTAACTTTAATAAAACATTTCAAAAGATTAGTTTTTTAAAGTAATTTATTTCAACAGCAAATAAAAACGTAACAAAAAGTAAATTTCGCCTCGAGTTTGAGTTTTTGAGTTTTATTTTAAAGTTCATATATTTTCTTTTTCGTGAGGAATTTGTTTTCTTTTTCAGTTTTTTCAATTTTTTTTCTTAGTTTTCAGATTTGAAAAATTGAAAACTACGAAAGACTTAAAAAACCCTTAGCTAAACTGTTTAGATTAGCATTTCTTTCTTCAGCGCATTTTTGAAATGCTTAAATCATTAAAACATCTAAATAGTAGTGATCAAGTTGCCAACAAAAAAAAATCATTTGCGTGGTCAGCAATAGCGTTCGATCGCACGCCATTTCTATCCAAGCCTGTATACATACATTTGAGACTCTTCCATTATTCCATTCGCTTGTAAATTTTGACTCAGGCGGTTTTACTAATACTTTTTTTCCTTGTGTATAGTTTTGGAGAACTTCCTGATAAACAGATATACCTTCTTTGTTAGGTATATCTGTTTTATCAGATAACAAGTTCGATTGAATCCAAAGTAACAATGATTATGAAACAATTTCTTTTTTATTCAGTTAGTATTAGGTATTTTTATTCGATCATAAGTTTTACAAAAGGTTTTTTATGAAGGCTTTCTTCTACATTCAAAATTAATTGCAAAAAGGAAACATTTTATTCACCTTATTTCATCGTTTATAACTCAAGTGTAAGTTACTTTTAAGACCTTTTTTGCATTGACATCATTTAGTAACTACAAAAATGCATTAATCAGACCAGTAAGTTTAAAAAAATATTATTAAAGAGCAGGAATTTATATTCGAGAAAAAAAAAAGGTCTCAAAAATTATAAAGTTTCTTGCTAATATCTCAATAAATGATTTGTTCTGAAAAATTTAATAAAAATATATACACATTAATGTAATATTAATTATAAAACATAAATAAAATTAAAAAATATTTTATAAATATAAACAACAACTGTAAAATAATAAAACAATTAAAAACTGAAAGTTAAATTCTCTCAATGTTAAAAAATGAAGATAAAACACTATTATTCTAAAATTTATATATATATATATATATATATATATATATATATATATATATATATATATATATATATATATATATATATATATATATATATATATATATATATATATATATATATAAGTTTTTCAAAACTAGCCGATCAAGTGTAATTTTTTCACAAAAACAGGTTATTTTTCCCTTGGATTTTTTGAAATTTCCCTAAAAATAGCTGATTATTGATTGTTGATCGGCCGTTATTTCAAGCGCTGATATATATATATATATATATATATATATATATATATATATATATATATATATATATATATATATATATATATATATGTAATAACAGTAACACTATTAGACACACTCAAATTATGTCAGAACTTACCTTAGTAGAACTATCTATTAGATCAAAATTAAGAGTTTCTGTTATTTTATGAAAATCATTTTCACTCAGTGCAAAATTGTTTCTGCAGTCTCTAAAGGAAGGTTGTAGGTTTTCAGATGATACTGGTTGATAGTCTGCTGAATTTAGAGAAGTGCGCATATTCCAAGATATATCTTGTGGCATTTCTTCGTTAAAATTACTGCAAGTAAAATTTCTTTCATGGATATCATGTTTTTCAGGGCTACTTTCAAGAAGTTCATAATAACTTTTGAAGTTTCGATTTGAATCATCTGGAAAAAAAGTAAAATTTTCATTACTGACGCTTTGTAAGTAATTATTGTTTTGTAAGTTATTTAAAACTTCAGATTTTGGCATTTCAGTGTCTTGTTCGCCCATTAAGATATTAAAAATTTGTGTCATGTCAACTTTTGATAAAAGATTATTTACAAATTCATCATTATCTGAAATTTCTTCACTATTCAAATTTTGTAATGTTTTTTTACTTGATACTTTTTTATTGTGATCAACTTTTGCATTTTTCTTTGGAGTTAATTCTCTTGATGAAGGCTTCATATAACTAAAGCTTGGCAAAAACATATGTTTATTTATATGATTTTTGTGCTCACCAAGGGGCATTATATTATGACAAAAAACACATATTACTCCTTGATTTTCATCCAAAAATAAGTTACAATTATTTAATTGCGACTTGTGTAAACTTAAAGCAAATAACTTAAAACTGTCTACACAATCATCTTCTGAAGGTACAATCTCTGTTTTACCAAGGATTTCATTAGCACTTAAAATATTGTCTTTCTTACTAAAATGATAATTAGCATGTATCCAAATATCTTGTACATTTATAAATTTCTCAAAGCATATTTTGCATTCAAGTGGAGTAATAGTTTGACTCATAGAGTGGAGTTCTTTAGAAACGGTATGCTTAGAATCAAAATGCTGTTGTAAGCTTTCAGAGCTAGGAAAATGCATTTTACAAATAGAGCATTCAAAATGTTCTCCAATTAAATGATCTGCCATATGCCGATCATAATCTGTCATATATGAAAAAAATATATCACATTGTTTGCAAAGAATATTTTTATGCATAAAATTCATGTGTGCCACAACACTTTCATTGTTGCTAAAGCATTTACAACATTTATTACAACGAAAAATAAAATAATCACTGCAAAAGATTTCTGGATTTTCCATATTTTGTGCAGCATTAGCATCTTGACTAGATGTTATTTCATTAATTTGTAATTGATTAGTTGAAGATAACATTACACTTTTCCAATTGTGTTCATTTTTTAAATGGGATTCAAATAACAATTCTGTTTTAAAATCAACATTGCATTCAAGACATGTAAGATGATTAATTTCTTCTCCATTTAAATGAGATTTGGTATGAGTTAAAAATAACTGAGCTCCAACAAATCGCAAACCACACAATGTACAGATATAATTTTTCCAATCCAGATGGGAAAGCTCATGCTGATCAAGAACATTTTTTGATGCAAATGTTTTTTTGCAGATTTGGCACATAAAGAATTGACTTTTATTTAAACATCTTTCAGCATCTTTTTCTTTATTAATACCATTTAAATGAAAATTACTTAAATGTTTATAGAGATTAATTGAAGAGTTAAACTTTATTAAACAAAAACCACAATATAGCTGTTCCTTCTTTGCTATTGCCTGAACTGGTTTACTGTTCATCACTAAATCAAGAAGTCGCTTTAACGTTTTTTTATCAACTAAAATTTGATCTTCTGAATCAGTGTCAAAAGTGTCTAAATCATTTTCCTGAATACGCAATGTTTCTGAAAGTGAAATAATTGTGTTTATGATAGATTGACTTTTTTTTTTCTTCGAATATTTTCCTTCTATACTGCTAAAATTTTGAAGATTTGGATGTTGAAATAGGTCAGATTTAGATGTTTCCAAATCTGGGTTAGTTAAAAGCATACTATGTTGGTCACGATTTTGCTGTGAAGATTCATTAAGTGAGTTTTTGGTATTAAAAATTTCTTCTGTAAAGTTTTGAAAGTTTGGATGTTGAAATAGATCAGAATTAGATGTTTCCAAAACAGGTCTAGGTAAAGGCATACTATGTTGGACCTGGTTTTGCTGTGAAAGTTCAACAAATGAGTTTTCGGTATTAAACGTTTTATCTGTAAAATTTTGAATATTTGGATGTTGGAATATATCAGAGTTATTTTCTAACACAGGTCTAGTTAAAGACACACTATTTTGGTCATGGTTTTGCTGTGAAAATTCAACCTTTGACTTTTTGGTATTAAAAGTTTTGCCTGTAAAACTTTGAAGATTTGGATGCTGAAATAAATCAGACTTTGATGTTTTCAAAACAGGGCTAGTTAAAGGCATACTATGTTGGTCATGGTTCTGCTGTGAAAGTTCAACAAATGAGTTTTTAGTGTTAAAAGTTTTATCTGTAAGAACTAAATCATCTACTTTTTCAATATTTTCAGTTTCTTTGAATAACTTAAGAATATTTTCAGCATCTACAATGTTTATGTCTTCATGTTGAGATAAGTTCAGAATTTGATTGTCATCAAGATAAACTACTTCATACCCAGTACTTCCATAAATTAATTCATTTAAATCTAATTCAAACCGATTATTTAGACTTGATTCTTTAAAATTCTTTTTTCGTGGACTATAACTATTAGTATTATCAATCAGTATTTTTTTTAAACTTGACTGTGCTAATGGATTACATTCTAAATTAAGACTGACTTCATGCATCTTTAAATATCATTAATCGATCTCTATGCTATTAATTAGTAAATGTGATTTTAATTATTTACTTGAAGTAGTTTAAAACATACTTTTTTCTTCATAAAATTAGAAACATTACCAATTTCAAGATAGAAATCAATTTCAAAAACCTAAAATAAAGTGAAAATTTTAAATCAGATAAAACTAAGTCTACCAAACATGATAAAAAATAATTTTTTAATATAAAACCATAACATACATGATTGTAAAAAAATAAAAATAGATTCGAATAAAGAATTATCTCCTCTATTCGAATTGATAAAACTATAAGCCAATTTAGTTCTTTTTTTTTTTTTTTAATACAACTTTAATAGAAGAGAAATTTTTTATATATTTCTTATTGTTGTGAACAAAATAGGACTAGAAACAAAACTGATATAAAAATAATTTTAGCACTAACATGTTGAAAATTTAGTTTCAATTTTGGTAGTGTAACTAAAAACATAAAAAAAAAACTCTTTTTTTCTGATAAAACCACACAATTCATAATTTAGTTAAGTTTTTTGTAAATAACTGAACACATATTTTTATTTATGTTATTTATATTATTTATGTTAACTATGTTATTTATTTTAATTAACATAGTGTTAAATTAAGTTTAACTAAAACTGAATTATTGTTATTTGTCAATACAATTATCACTTACTCATTAAAAATTAACTATTATGTTATTTCTCAATATAATCATCACTCAATTCAACTTCACTCACTTATTTTAAAATATCAACTATAATAACAAAAGAGTACAAGAAAGATAATATACTAGCTGCATTAAATGATATGAAAAAAAGCAATAAGTCACTGAGAAAATTCAAACATGGTGTTCCAGTCTTAACACTTAAAGATCACAAACAATGTTAATTTAGAATGAAACAGAAAGAATGATGGTGTATGCGTACCAAACATTTGGTGACTGGGGTTATGGCTTAATCTAAACTGAACTCTTTGAATTTGTTACTGGCTTCCTTAGCAAAGATCAATTGTACTTGTTCAAAAATGATACACCTGGCAAAGGCTGGTTTTATGCCTTTATTACATAAAAATTTAATCTACCATCGCCATCTTCAGCAGCCTTTGTAGCAATTATACTATCTTGCTTAGTCACAGCTTCATCATCTTTAACACCTGCCCCAGCACCTACTTGAACTACACATCGATTACCATCTTTATTAACTATGCCAGCTTTGAGCTTTGGTAGGTATCAAGCATGTGTTGAGCATTTCAAAAACGTTATCAAGATAAAGTTGAAGCCATTTTTTCAAGCTGGAAACCAAAGTAGTGCAACATGTCAAAACTTAGCGTAAAATGTTTTACTGAAGAAAATGTGATCAAGTTCATCAAAAAAAAAGCTACAAAAGAAACAGTTAAAGTTGCTAAACTCAACGCAAAGAGTAGTTGGAAAAAAAAAAATGAAACCTGAAAAAGTTATTTAACTTTTACTGATTAGTGTGCATTTTGATCTGGTTTTTTTCTACCAATTGTAAATAAACTTTATAACGTAATTTTATTAACCTGTTATACAACTAAGTATATAATTTTGATAACTTATTTATAAAATATTTCCTGAAAAACTTATATTTTTGGTCTATATTTTGGGTCTTGCAATAAAGCATGTACCATTAGCTATCTATGTCCTATTTAACTCTACATTAACATATGATCTCATAGCATATAGAGATTACCTTGTCTGTATATCTTATTAACATCAAAACATGCTAATGTAATATACAAAACAAGCATTAAGAAAAATATTTATAAAAATAAAAATTTGTAAATTAAATTTTGAATAATTAATTTTGAAATTTATATTTATTACCTCATCTACATTCTGCAATTCAACAATCGATAGGGTATAAATTCTTTAAAAAGTGAAAATGATTCTGACTGAAAAACATAAAATATGTCACATTAGAAACAATTTACTATTTCTAAAGAAAAATAAGAGAAGCTGTGTTTTTACTATAAAAGATTTTAATAACTGCATTGAAAAACATTTTTAAAAAAATTTATTTTATTGCTACAAAAAATAAAATTAATCAATTTTTCTGATTGTATTGTAAACCAATTAAATGAGTTATAATAATATTTAAATTAATCTATTTAGAGCATATATATATATATATATATATATATATATATATATATATATATATATATATATATATATATATATATATATATATATATATATATATATATATTTAAAATCAAGCATTTTATCATATAAGTGGGGCTGGACTTTTTTTTATATGTTGTTTTAGTAATTTTTTGATATGTGTTCAAACTTTTAAACGTGCGCGTTTATTAAACAAGTCAGTTTTAAGTTGTTACTTTATTTAAAAAGGGTTTCGCAAAATGTTATATTATAAAAACATTAGTAAAGAAAAACAATTCGAAGGTATTTATTCCAAACGTAATTTAGATAATCTTATCATTATAATTTATTATTTATTTCAGCTAAGTTTTAATTTTATTTTTGCTATTTTAGTTTTAGTAAAGTTATTTTAATTTTGTTTTCATTTTTTTTTTTTACAAAGATTTATTTGCTTCTTTAAGAATAAGTTTTTTTTTAAAGTTTCTTTACAGTTAAGTTAAGATTTGATTTAATTTTTTTAACGCATTTTTAAAACATATACAAATTTTCAAAACATTTTAACAGCCGTGGTCAAGTTAAGTAAAATCAAATAGTATTTGCGTGGTCATATTATGACATCAAATCGCATGCCTTCCTGGCCAAGCCTGTATATATGCATATATAAACATAAACATGATCAACATGATCATCATAATCATCATCATGATAATCATTATCATCATCATCAGACTTTAGCCTTCTTCTTTTATGCTTTTAATATAAACAATCTAGTATAATATAATATTTCAATTCTAATATAAACAATCTAAAGCATTTTCTTTTCTTAACTCTTTTTTTTTTTTTTAATTATCTTCGCTTCTAACAAGGCAAACCACTAATTAGTGTTGGAAGTTACTGGAAGAGAAAAGATGAAGATTGTAGAGCAAGACAACGATTGACAGACGACTTAAAGGATTGCAAATTATATAAATCAGGATAGCAAGATGAAGGAAGCGAATTCCAAAAAACTGATGTTCGAGGAAAAAAACTAGACGAATAAGAGTTTTTCGAGCACTTGGGAACAGTAACAGAAAAAGGATGAGACTTAATTGAATGACGAGTAACACGAGAATGAATTTTAGTAGATGGCACAAGAGACAGAGGGAGTTGGCTTCCTCGTGACAAGAATAAATGGTAGTATCATCAGCGAACAATGCCACCTTAGATGTGAGAATATCTGGAAGATCGTTAATGTAAATTAAAAAGAGTATAAAACTAAAGCTCATTCATATATTATGTAAAGCACTTTCTTCAAGTTTTCTTATTTCTACCACTATAATTTTCTCCTGAAGCTGCTACCTCTATACATGCTGATACCAAAATCACTTAAATCTTTTGTAGCTAACGTTGTTTAATACAACATTTTTTTCTAATCTAAGATTATGCCTAACTTTCTTGTCTCGCTAGAGTCAAATGACCATCCAACTGAACATTTTCTCTTTCGGCAAATACTACACCTTATAAATAATTAATTTTATATAAATATGAAAGTATATTGTATGCTGCATCTAAATAAATAGCAAACATATATGTTTATATATTTAATATGCATCTTGGAAGCTTTTATTCGTTCAGGAATAAAGGTTTAAAAGCATTTATTTTTACTCTTCAATTTTAAGTCATGCTCATTTTACTCCACATTTTTCACCATCTTGAGCAGTTGCTTTATTAAAGAGATCCTAAACTCCCAAAACCTGTTGTGTTCATAATAAAGATAATGTTGAAAAAAAAGGTTTGAACTAATTTTTTTTCATTAAAAATGAATAATGAATTATTAAGAAAAAATAATCTTGTTGTTTTAGTCGAAGCTCACCTTCTCCATTTTACTCAAAAAATCAGAGTCTTTGAATAATATTTCAAAATCTACAGACTAAAGGAAATGCAGAATTTCCATTGAAGTGTATTTAATTCATAAAAGCTTTATAATTTGACATCACAGTAGACTTTTGACAAATAAAATTTTTATTTATAAATTTTTTAATTATTAGTTCAGTTATTTATTTTCTAATTTTAACATTGAAAAAGATATTAAAAATCTCAAATATTTTATGCTTGTTTGTTGCTAATCATTGTTTTTGCGCTATGCTTAAAGTTAATAAATAATGAATATTTATTATCTAATCAAGATTCTGATAAAAAATTATTTTATATTATTTACCCGTATAAATTAGTAACAGCATTTTTATTTGGTTAGACAATATTTTATCTGAATTTGCATAGCATGAATTTCGGGAAGTCAAACAAAATAACTTAGTTTAAATAATCATGTCAAAATATATTTAAAACAAATAATTTTAATGACAAGAGTACTAAAGTCTTTTTATAACAAAAGTAAACAATAAATAACTAAATAAAAAGTTTAACATTAAACATCTTTATTTTATTATATTGCAACTGTAAATATTGAAATATTAAATTGATGAAATTTACTTATTATTTAGAACAACTAAAAAGCCTTAAAATTATGCAATATTTTGTTGTTTTATTCTTAGATCAAAAAAAGCCCTAGGAATGTATTTGTTTTCATAGTATGAAAAATATATTAGAGAAAAAACAAAGTTTTTCATCTAACCTTCCGAACTACCCATATTTCCGTCAAAGTCAGACATCACATTGTCTATTATTTAGTAAAATTTTCATCAGGCATTTTCACATATTCACAAAATTTATCTTATTTAGTCATGTGAGAATATATTTAATTAAATTCATTTTGAAAACATGGATTTCCTATTTTGTTTTATTAACAAATTGTAATTATTATGACTAATGGTTGCAAAATTGTGCAGCATTATTGTAGCGTTTATTGGAAAACTTGTATTTGTCAATTTTGATAGTTTTTTTAATTTTTCATGTTAAGAGACAAATGCCAAATACAACACATAAATTGGGAAATACCAAATACAATATGTTTTTTAACATGCGTTACAACACCTTGACAATTTAAATTACCATCTTCCTTAAATTATTGCATTAATGTGTTAATTATTGCGTTAATAATAATTTGTCTGTATTTTTGTTAAATGTTAATTGTATAAAACAGGCACAAATATATGTACTTCATGTTTTTAATTTGATGGTTATAAAATATTGAACAGTAAAATTGGTTATACTAGTAATGCAAAATCAGTATCTAACATATACTTTCACAAATTTCCTTTTTATCATATCCAATTTAGCAAATATAACAACTTAAATTAAATCAGCGCATTTAAAAAATTTTTATAATTAAAAAATTTAACAGTTCATCAAGCATCTTTAACTAACACTGTCAGATATTGAAATTAATTGTTAATAAATACTTTTTTTGACAAGAGAACAAAAAATATGATAGCATAAAAATGACTAGAGAAGTTAAAAAAAAGTTTCCTTTGTTTAAATGAAAATAAATAAAATTCAGAATATAATACTGCGCTCTCTTGCACAAAAACAAGAGACTTTATATATAACGCTCTATATAATGTAAATTACTTGTATGAAAATCTTAAGTAAATAACTATTCAAAGTAAGTAAATAAATATTAAATTCAAACTCAAAATGTTTTTAAGTAATAGACAACACATATTTCTTTAAGTACAAAAGCTTTAATCAGAAAAAATGTATGGTCTTACAGTGAAAAAAAAGCTAAAAAATTACAATTAACAATGACACAAAATTTGAAAAATGGGGGCAATAAGCTCCAGATGTTAAACAAATATTTTCACATTGTTTGTAGGCAAATTTTGCAGATCCATTCCATGGCTTCAATATCAGCCCGATCTGGAATTTCTGTTCATGGGAAAATCTAGGCTGAAGTTCTTTGAAAAAAAGTCTCTAATAGAAGACTTTCCTGATGATGAAATAGACAATAAAGTTTGCGGTCCTGCAGGTGCTGAAGTGTCAATGATGTTTGAAGGTCCTGCGATTGCTGAAGCAGGTGCTGAAGATGATTCTGTTGATGATGCAGCAGTTGACAATGATGTTGAATATGATAAACATAGTAGTGATGTTAATGCAGAAGCATTGTGAGCACTAGTGATGGAAAATACTTTTATAGAGCATAGCACAGTTGGAGTGGGCAATGTGGGTTTTTCTGTAGCATTTTTTGTAGACAACATAACTTGAGGACACTGTTTAAAGAAGCTTATGTCAATGGCATCCTTGTTAAATGGGAAAATGCCAGTTTCCTTGAAACCACTTTTTACTTGTTCTATCATGAATAAACTTTGGAAAAGAGTGTGTAGCAGACCAGGGAAATGCTTATTTGATACTGGTCCATAGTGCATTCTTGCATATTTCAATAGCAGGCTTTGCCATTTGCTCTTCACAGGTCAGAAAACTGATGTATCCAGAGGTTGGAGAAGATGGGTTAGATGAGAGGGCAAATGAAGTAGGATGACATTGTTATTTTTTATCCAAAAACTGAGGTGATTCCACCCAGCCCTTCTTACTTGTTGTATAAGCAGCTCCATCAGGACCACCTTGAACCCACTCACAGCAAAAAAAATTTTCCTTGTACACAACATAAGGTAGCAGTATCTGGCTGCTTGCAGAGCATGCAAAATTTACAGTTGTTTGCTCGCGTCCTGAGCCACCAATACTCTGGGTCACTCTAGTAGCACCTTTTTCTGCTAACACAACTTGGATTTTTGGGTCAGTAACAAAACCTGTTTCATCGCAGTTGAATATTTGACTTGGTAAGCAGATAACTCTAGTATCTTGTAGAGTTTTCTTACCCAGCTGAAATCATTTCTTAATGACCTCAGGGTCTTCAGCCTTGGCTCTCGCATTGCTGAGGTGTTCTGTTTCTCTTGGGACTACTTTTGGATAGCG